AGGACACCAATACAGTTCTCTTTCAAGCCTTCTAAGGATCTTTCCGTTGACTGAAATGAAATTTAGCTCTTGAAATGTGCCGGGTCTTCCCAGCATAAAAGAGGTACAGTTAAAAACAACAGGACAGAGCCTCGGATCCATTCCCAAGTTCTTGTGACATATTTGGAAAGAACTCTTGCAAAACATTGCAACAGCACAAAAGGGCTTGAATGCCAGTTATTTAGTTATGATTACCGTGATTTTCTTTCAAAACTTACCAGGTACCATTGCTTCGTAAATAAAGGATCATTCATGTTGATATCGATGTCATTGATGTCTCTATAGCCTCGCTTCTTTCTGCTGAAGCCTTCCTGTTGCACAGCTTTCTTTACCTGGAAGGGTTAATTTTTACATCTTTAGCTCAACATTCTTAACCACAGATACAAAGATTTTTTTAGCCTTGTTTTGATGATAGATAAGGATTATGAAGTCACATGATTTGTGTCCGTGTCATTCATTTGCAAATTCTAAACCTGTGGCTGATTTCAGTCAAAATTTGCAAAGATGTAGAGAGCTCAAGGACTACTACAGTGGCTATGTGGGAGAGAGCACCCAGAAGCGTCCTATCTGGAGGAAAGCTACAGCTTGAACATGTTTTAGATACCTGAGAATCTGCATAAAAAAGATTCAGGTATCATTAGTGTCATGGATCTCCCTGCCATACTTTTCTTTTTCATAGCCACCAATATAAAAACATTGTTGTTATTAGAAGCTAAAATTACTTAACTAATTCCCAATACGTCACTGTTCCAAGCTACAAGCGTTAGATAAAATGAGGATGCAGGCCTCAACCACACTTATTCTTCAAATTTTTCTCCAGGGCATTTTCGGAGTATTAGATAGCCTTTCCTCCCAAAGAGATTTGCTGGGAGAAAAATATCTGGGGTTGTGTGCTTTCAGCACACTCCTGAGGTTCTCAAAAACGATTTGTAGAGCAATCTACTTTCAGGGATTATCCTTGCAATAAGTAAGTGATAAATAAATACATTGGCAAGAAAAACTAAATGGCAAAAAAGCCACTAAACTGACCAGACTGGTTGAAGTATAAGATATAAAAATACTGGTTATGAAACACAAGTCGCCATAGTTTTTTAGAGATCCTTTCCTTTATGACCAGTAAACCCACAAAAACATTTAACTAAGCACTGCAGAAAACAAGAAAAGTTAGACACACAAATATCTTCAGAGGCAGGAACCACAAAGGTCAGACCATAATCATCTTATTCGTACCCATGTAAAAGAGCGCTCCTAAAGGAGATCACTGACGGTTGCAATTGTTGTTATAATATGTGCTAACATATTCCTAGACCTTGCAGAAGTGCTATCAAGTTTGGCATATTCTTTTTGTACTCTTTAGCCTAACACCTGGAACCAAGACAGCATAAGTCCCAGCATTTAATTCAAAATAAAAAAAAAAAAAAAAAGATTAAAATCTAGCCCTCTTGATCAAAGAGGAATGCTTTGAAACATGAACTGAGTACACCTTGAGGTGCAGCAAGAAGGCAGCAAACCCCCTAACATTTCCTTAGTCATTTTCTTGAAAAAAAAAAATGCATGGTTATTAAATAAATCTAGTAACTCAGAGAACCACTTCTACATGTGTGGCTTTGGCATTCTGATTAAGACGATGTATACAGGAGTTACACCGCTGTGTCGCAGTAACTCATGTAGTGTCAGTTAAAATCAACAGAGGAGAAATTCATCCAAACGCTAAATCAGATCTTAGGTCAGTTGAGTCATTCTTGGAGGTGTCCTTCTGTCTCTGTTAATTAAAGCTGGAGCCTCAAAAGACAGGGCTCAGTGAGGTGTCTAAGGCTGAGATGAAACTGGGATCCAAGTGATGGGGGCTAAAAGCTATTTTCTTCACAGCTATATTGCTTCATTATAACCCTGAAAACCTAATACCAATTCATAGTGAGCAGGATGGGGCAATGTGCCCTGAAAAGGCAAATGTTTCTAAAAATCTACTTGTATGAACGCTAACTCTTTAACTAAAGGTACCAAGTGATAAAATACTGAATTAGTAGGTGCTTTCATTTACACATGTGTTTCCATTACTCGTGCAGGTTTAATAAAAGCAGAGCAGATTGAAAAGAAAGAAAAAACCTAATACAAAATAAGCTGGAAAGAGGACAGCGATTAAGTAGGACCCACACTAGATGTACTTAGTGGCGCCAGGTATCTCAACAGAGTTACAGAAGGTATAAGCACACTGTTTGATACCTCTAAGATAAGGCTCAGTGATGCCATGGAGACAACAGAGCAATCACCTGTCATTATGCCTTCCTCCATTACCACCCCTGCCTCTCTGCTTGCGACTGCAAACCCCGAGCTTGTCACCACATAAAATAATTATGAACAGAAGCCAGCCCTCACTTAGAGGGATGCCAGAGAAAAAGATTTCATGTGTTTGTGCTCCCACGCAAGCTTGCTGGCTCTGCAGGACCTGCTGCATTAAGGCACTGAATTAGGATTTAGTACAAAAGGATTTCTACTAATTAAAAAGCAATGCTTCGGAGCCCTGGCTTTTCTTTAAGACAACCCAGAGGAAGTGGGGGAGCAATTTGCAGAAATAGCACAGGCTGGTTTCCCTCTTCAGAATCATCTCATTTGTCTGATTTGTTCCATCTTCACAATAAAATATAATTTATTTTTTGTATTATATTATATTACATTATAGTATAATTTCCTGAGACAAGGAAATATACCCCTCAAGGAGGTATAACCTTCTCTGAACTAAAACCACTCTGTAGGCTGTTTTCTGAATATTTCACATGGAGAAAAGGCATACAGGCTGCTACCATCCACAGAGGCAACAGTCTCAGAAATTCTCTTTTTCACTCCGGCAACAAGCGGGTTTTCCTCATGTTCAGAAATGATGGTAACTTAGACAATCGCATTCAGAAAAGATTAGGTCCTTCAGTCATGAAATGAATTGAAAGGTTTGGGTAAGGCCTTGGTAGCTTCTCACTTACATAAGCTACAAATTGCCTCATTCAGTTGCCTTGTATAACCCAGCACAAAGTAAGAACTTGCCTTTCTCCTGATGAAAATGTTTCTAGAAAACAGTGATCCCAAGATCAGCTAACACCAATATATTCCAGAAAAAAAATCCCAATAGAACAAACTTATCATTGGAAAAGAATGATACAAATCCAGTTATTTGAGTGGAGGATTGCCCATTTAGGGCTGCAGATAGCTGACTCACGACCCCTAGTCTTCTTGCCAACTGGGTATCTGCATTAGAAAAATGGTGTTTTTCCAGAGCTGGAAACTTGTGCCTTCATATCTAGTCTAGATCAGGAGAGGGACCGCATCTGATTCTGCTTCTATCTTATGGTTTTCTTCTTAAAGAAGAGCAGGCCTCCCTGTGACATCAGCAACATAAATGCATTAAGTATCGCGTCGCAGGTAATATGTTTCAAAAACACATACAAGAGAAAACATCTTTGCATGTGCAATGGTAGAAGATCATTGGAAAACAGGCTGATCTTACAACAGCCATAATCCCATGCGCTTGTGTCAAGTTCACACCTGGAATCCAGCCCTCAACCCAATGCACAGTGCAACCTCATGCCATCTTTTAAATGTTTGTTTCACTAACTGAAGCAAGAAAAACAGCATTCGTAACACTCAGGCTTCTGGTGACAGCATCTCTAAATGATTTGAGCCTATGAAGGATGATACTTGTTAGAACCTAGTGAAGGAACAAGATATTCTTACTAAAATAGCACGAATTTTACTGTCTCAAAATTAGGCTTATTTATCAGCAATAACAGCTTTTTGTTTATTTCATTCTTAATTCATTTATTCCTTCTTCATTAGGACACAGGATTAAGTAGAGAGCAAAATCTGAGCATCTACTTTATTAGCATGTTACTAAATCATGTAAAAGTTCCTAGCCGGCCTGTCATCAGAATGAAGGTCATGAAGGTAGCCCATGGATGGTAACATCCTTACAAGGAAAAAAGATTCAAGTATTGATTTTTAATATACTTGTACTTATGCATGGTGCATAAAGTCACTTGGATGATAATAAACCAGCAGGATACTGATGCAGAACAAATTAACAAAATAATCAATTGACTGCAATACTGCCCCGGGAGGGCCAGAAACCGCAGCACTCTAACTGTGCTCTATGCTCCTGTGAATGCCAAGATAATCAGCTCCTCGTTCTGACGGAACAGGGTTAATTGTACTGGTGAGCTCCTGCAGTTAAATGACTCTGTTATACTGAGCATAAATGACAGATTTACTAAATTATACCAGCGAGGGCACGGAAGTGGAACAGTACACACAACCCCCAACCTCAAGAATCAAGAACTTCAGAACAGGAGAATTCGGGCCAAATTCCAGAGGAAAAAGGCAGTCCCACTGATGACATCTAGTAGGCATGGCTAGCATGGCTTTTTAAAAAGAAAACATAGCAGTGAGATGATCAACCAAAGGAAGCAGTGGTTCTTTTTTCTCTAAAGCCTCAAGGTCAACACATGTCTGCTCCTGAAGGTGAAGTAAGAAGTTGGAAACCGATAGCCTGTACTGCTGAAGAAGTCAGGCTGATGACTGGACTTGGGCCCTATGAATTGTACTGAAGATCAGTCTCCCATGAAGGTGGTTTGGAACAGTATGTCCAGATGCACAAAGGCATCATCGAATAAACCACCTTCAACTAGTGGAAAGCTGTCCTGACTGCTGCTGTCATTAATTTCTGATATCCAAAGAAACATGATGGCAACAGAAGATGGAGGCAGAGAAGTTCAAGTGAGCCAGAATGATACACACACCTAACTCTCTTTAGAAAGAGAGAATTGGATATCAAGCACCAACAGCAACTTTTCAGGGTCTTACCCACAAATGACAACCCCTCTGCTCCCAAAACCCGCACAGAGTTAATATGTGACTGTGTCTTTTTCACCTCTGATTTCTGTCTTATAAACAGAAAGATGTTTAATTTTACTATCCACTCCATCCACGTAACATAGAAGAGTTACGGCTACTAGGAGGCTGGAGGTGCACTGATCCCATTCAGAGTACACACTCATTACCTCTATTGTCCCACAGCTGCTTGCTGGTAAGAAGCTCTGAAGATGTCAGAGAGGAGCACCCATCTCACTTTCTTCTACGTTTTTGTTAAAGCCCCAAAGCAACCAAGTTTTGTATGACTTTCCACTACAAAATAAAAGGAATAACGCTGACTGTCCTCACTAGTGTGAAGAAAGTACAGACCTACTTGAACTGTAACTAAAGTCAAATGAACCGAACAAAACTGAATCACTTTTAAATGGCAACGGGGACAGCTCATTTCTGCTATTGAACTGATAACCTGGGGTGG